CGGTAAATAAAACTAATTTTTCACATATGTGTGATACACTACAAACACACAAGTACAACTCATCACAATTTAGCATTTTCCGTTTTTTCTAAGTGACGCAGTTAACACATGGTCCACAGTATCTTTTGTTAACTTATATCTAATTGTTATAATAGTGGACAATAAAAAATGTAATGTAAATAATGTACAAGTAATTTGTTTGTTAATTGTGAAATTAATATATTATTTATACACACAACCCGTACGAAGTCTATATATATAAAGCACAAAAATATGCGTGTCTGTCCATTATCTAACTACTCCTAGGTCGCTGGGCTAATCAATCTCAACCAAACTTTGTGGGATGATAGTTTGGAACAAGGGGCATGTTACTAGGGTTCATTATTGCTGTTATTGAGCATTTATTATCATTGACGCAAGTTAACGTTACCTATATTCATAGATGGCGCCACGTCTTACTAAAAAAAAACTTTATTAAGTTTTCTATAACACGACGTACACACAGTGTGGGGAGGGCACACAAATGTCGTATATCTCAGAGTGTGTGCTAGCACTCTCTACGGAGGAATGCAATGGAAAAAAAAATAGCCACCACTATTGCAATAATACATAAACTCAGCTGAAATTTCTACTCCAACAGCCACAATAAGGTTGATATGAAGTTATTTCTTAGTTATACTCACTTCCTACTTTGACCCGTGACGTTTTAACTTCGGCCCGTAATATACTTTTGCGGCTAATGACCAAAACACTGTGGAAGTACGTTAACAGCTGGGTGTTGAAAACGGTAAATGAAAGCACCCCCTATCTCAACTATTTTTCCGCTAACTCTTTCCATAAAGTCGCTCTGACCATCACAGTGTAGGCCATGTTTCAAGTATACACTACATATTGAGTTCTTAAAGCTTATACAAAACTTTTGGTGAGGTAATAATGAATACTGTAATAATATGTTATAAATAAATAGTGTGAAAGTTAGGACTTTTATATTATCTATCATAGCATCCACCCACAATTTTTTTTTTAAGTTCATAACCCGGACAAAAGTTTTGATACCCGTAGTGGGCAGAGCACTAATAGCCCTTTGTGTTTAACTAAAAACAAGAAACTAAAATATGGTCTTTTTGTTCTTTGTAATGTATATATATAAACAATTATTATTTTTAAATTTTGTATAACGTTTTTCCGATAGTCGTTGTGTGCTTTGTAATTATTGATATAGTTTATGATCGAACTAAGACAACCTGTGACCCACACCCCGCAAAAACCAAAACTACACGCACAACTATAAATAAATAATGAATATTTACACAAGAAATAATATGAAATGTCTTCCTAACTAACTCTCCCTGGAAATTTTGGCCCTTTGGACAATTCTCACAATTATTATATTTTATTAGATCTAGCAGTGGTGGTGTGATGCACCACTAGCCATGTGGTGGGTTCCATTGTCTCCAGTGTAGAGACAAGAAATGGTAATGAGAGAGTCAAATAATAATAATCAACAACTCGCCTCACTAGAATCTTTAGGAAAGCTGAAGAATAGAATTGGAGAGATGAAAACAATGGGGCACAAATGTGTCAGGGGTGATCTAAATCCTCACCCACAAGATGTCATCCATGGGACATTGAAGGTGAGAGGCAAGAGAAGCCATTAGTAGAATTTGATGGGAGGTGATATAAAAAAGGCATAAGGAGTCCTCTCTCATGGAAGAACAAACAAGTCAGATAAATTTAACCCAATTGGTCAAAGTGGAAGGGAGTCACAAGAAGAAGAGAAATCCCAAGTCAAGAAAAGACAATGTCAACTGACTCATACTGGAGCAGTATGAGCGAGACAACAAACTGCATGAAAAGGACAAAGAATTTGAATAATAACAATAAAACAGAATAAATGGGAGAGTCATTGGAAGGAACATCTGATCACCTTTCTAAACAGCCCAAGTTCTGGGAATAAAATGAATCTATCTCTGTGATAAAAAATGAAGGAGGCATCCAAAGCAAAAATGTCAGAGCAAAGTCTCCCACAAGCGAGAACAAGAAAATATGCCTAAGGAAAGATGATACAGTGAACATTTGGCCTATGTTCGAGGTTGAGGCAGGTGGGAGTCAGTGCAAAACTGGGACAAAAATTATTAGCACGAACACGAATATTAGGGAAAGGTACGGAACTGCTAGATAGACTCAACTGACGAAAGAGAAAAAATCTATTTTAGCTTAAACAGTTGATGAGATTTATTAAACACAGTAAAATAAAGCAATATGACATACTCACATTGGACGATTTTGTTTAGATGCTGCAAAATTGAATTTAAATTTAACTTAGTTCCTTATTTACCACAACAAATTTTGATTAGTGTAAGTCAGTAATGATCAGTGAATTAAGTGTCATACTTTCAATAATAAGTATTTATTTACAATTAACAAAAAATGGATAACTGCCTCAGCTAAGAAGACAGATTAAATTCATTGCCACTAACACTAGGTCAAGTATTGCTAATGCACTTAATCTTCATCATTTTTTGGAGTTGTTTTTCATTTGTGGAAAATAATGGCAAAATAAAATGGTTATTTTGAAGACCATTTTAAAGTAAATTTTACATTTTGGACTATCAAACTTCATAAAAGTGTACATAGTGAACTTTCCTCTCCACATTCATACCACTAAGAGAAAGAATACTTGCAATAATTTTTTTCTATTGCTGAACAAAGATTTGTGAAGATACTGAATTTTTTTTATATTTTCTAGAAAACCTCATGTGGCTCTAGAATCAAAATTAGGCAAAGCTACTGAATTAAATTTTGCAGACGTGTTATAGGAGTTCATAACATTCAGGGTAAAGGGAAGATCTATAACAGATTCACCAAGAAAGTAAATAACCTTTCTGTTTCTGACTATCTAGTGCATGTTTGAAAACAAACATTATGTCACACCCAAAACAAACAAATATCTTGGATTCCAGAAAATTTATTATTGGAGGCTTGAATATGCTATCTCTTGAATATCTTTTCTTGGGTCTTAAAAATTAGATAATGATAATTTGAAAAGTAAAGGTAAATAATATATATATATAGCTTTGGAAATCTAGTCCCCTTTGTTGTAACTGTTACTACACTATAACTCTACTATTCTCATTTAGACTAAAAAAAAAATTATACATAATGAACAACATCAACAAAAATACCACAAAACCAAATCAATGCCTTAAATATAGAAGGTTTTCATGTACTACTTTCATATCAGAATGTTGATACTATGCAGTGTTAGTGTAAAAAAGATAAAAAAAAAAGTTTTCAAAATTGTAAAGTTACTGAAATAGCAAACTGCATAATTTGTTTGATTATTGTGAAAATCGCCAATAAAAGTTGAATACGTTGATACCTTTGACAAAACATTAAATACAAAAGAATATCTCTGTATTCTAACCACTTTTCTGGAGTACCTTTGTGTTAATTCATAATGCATAAACTTAAATAAAGGAAACTATAACATTAATATAGTTCAATAATGAATGTTTCTTGTTGTTTGATAAGAATCTCAACAACATGTAGTGTATCATGAGGTTGGTTTTAAAAACTTAAGAAAAATTTAAGAGTCGATGGAAGAGTATCTTTATTGGGGTGTCAAATCAGAATGGTAATTATATACTCAGATAAACATACAAATTGTCATACAAACATATTGTAAATCACATAATGTATATAGGCCAATATAACATCAGTAAAAATAAATTAGAATGTTCTTTTTGTTTTGAAAATAATCATAAAGAAGAAAAATAGAAAATGTTTACCATTTCTAATTGTTTTTTGAGTTTAACCGACATGCAGTTTACTAATTTGATGAGACACAGAATCAATTTCTGTCTTCCTTGTCAAACTATTACAGTTTTTAGAAGTCTCATCTTTCTGTAAGTCATCTAGAGATCGAGAGCGGGGGATTGTGGCACCATCACTGGAATTACTTTTCACGGGACTTCCAGGATTTGACTTGTTAGCACTCTCTTGTCTAGGGTCTAAGGTTGTGTTTGTAGATATAGAGGTATCTTCTGTCCAGCACCGTCTAAGTGAAGCCTCTAGAGCTGGTCGCCAAGGGAAGTCATAAGGCCTATAAAAACGATGATGTCGTAGCCTCATCATTTTCATCTTAAGTGGCCCACGGAAAGCACCTGCAGAGGTAGTTGAACGTACAATATTGTGCTTATTGTTGTGAAGGTTAACATGCAATGTTATTCCATTATCATCTTGAGCAGAAAATACATTGGCTGGGTCATCTAGAGATCCACGGTGAAGAGATGAAGGCTGTTTGCAGAACGAGAAATTGGTCACGTATTTGGAATTCACATGTAGTATACACAGCTCTGGCTGATAGGAACAAGAGTTTTTGGCCTTAACTTGTTTTTCTTGGAGGTATTCTTTCCGGCTCTCAGTAACACTACTTAACATCCCAAGCTCATGAAGAGCAGAATCAATTTTCAGATCTGGTAAATTCTCTCTTGATGTGGACTGAGAGCAATAACAGGAGACAGCCATGAGGAAAACTCTCTAGATGCTTAAAAGCACAGAGAACTAGTTAACTTCTATAAAATTCATTTAATTTAGAGTGTTAAAACTGTTCTTAGAGAAAAATTTCTTTTAATATTTGTATGAAAATATTTGTCATACTTCATCAGTAACACTACATAACAAATACAAATATGATTTTGAATGCATGATAATCATCATTAGAAAGAAGATTGCTTTAAAAATATCTCTTAAGTAGGATTCATTCTTACAAGAAAGGGCCAATTGTTATATTTTGTTACTGATATTTTGTTATTTGTTTTGTATATATACATATTAATAATAACATGATTTAGAAAGACTTGGATCTCAAGAAAATAGTGAAATACTACAAAATCACTCTTACTGAATGCAACAAGTTTAGGTGACATAAATTACCATTGCCTTATTTCATTACATTTTCCTAATACTAATTTTCAGAACTATAGAGAAGTTTACATTTTCCTATACAGAAAATGTATTTTTGATAATACCTACCTCTTCTTACACTAAGCATTGGTATGAATTCTACTTCACTTGCTTCAGCCTTTATACCCCACTTTATGACCCCTAGCAATTTTAATCTTGTAATTCTCTCCACTTATGTCAATGTGCCCTCTATACCTGATCTGTATATAACCTCCCCATTATTCTTTCTTATTCACTTTTTTGAGACTGACATGATTATCAGACCTGAACACAGGCTATTGTGGGGAAGAAGGGCAGGATAGTGTGAGAGGATGCAAGTATTATCAGAAATTCATTTTTGGTATAAGAAAACGTAAACTTCCGAAAACACACTTACCTCCATTCCCACTTTAGTTATAATCTCACATTGACCACATCGAGGGGCCAGTGAAGGCAAAATCTACACAGAAAGTCTGTGTTAAAAAACAGGTGTGTAAAATTGAGATATAATAAACCACACCAGCGGGGGTCCACACTACTTCTGCAAAAGGTATACTCTCTGCCAGATAAAGTGAAATCTACAGGTGAGTGGTAAAGGTCAACCAGCTATTGAGTCAACATTGTTCATTAGCATAAGATTTGTCCAGGCCCCAACCACATGGACAAGGTTCCATGTCTTGTCATTGGAATTATTTTGCTGTAGACGCAAAGCTAGATCCAAGGCGTAGTGGCTATGGTATGGGGACCACAATGTAATATAACTGTATAATAGGAATATGATATGAAAGGAAACCAACCTGAACATTACAGAATGCGAGCCACCAAAATTACAAAGGGAAGGCAAGTAAGTAACATCCAACTGGACAAGTCTTCCACCCAGCCTGAAGAAACACAGAATGTTACATATCAAACTATGAATTACAGAGATCATCCGGCATGGGATTACGAACTGAAATCCTAACTCCTCAACCTCGGAGGCAAAGCAAAGCAACACATCCTGCCCCTGGAATTATGAGGAGTTGAGGACCTTCTTCCATGATCATGGAAAGTAATAGAATGACCACACTCACACAACCAGATAGCAAAGAGTTATCTCTTGAAACAGAATTATGAGGAAACTCCTGCATAGGCTGATCTGGCACCCCACCAGACATCTGGGAAAAGCATTCAGGGTTAAGGGTGGGAGAGTATCCAGCTTTGCCCTTTTTCCCTTGAGTACAAACACTACTCAGGAGGAACAGACCTCTTGAATGATGTTTGTGCTCAAGGAAAAGACCTCTGTCCACTGGAAATTGAGAATATTAAGGACTCCTTTGCTCCACTAGAAAAGAGAGAGAAAGAAGTCGTATTGGAGAGTTCTGAGGAATGATGCTCCAGGGACAATGCAGTAGGTGAACATGTTCTCTATTTTGAAAAGCAAACCAATGTCGATTTGTTCAATCCAGGGGTTAGCAGAGATGAGCAAATTTTAGCATAAGAAATGAGTAGAGAAATAATTATAAGAGTAGGCTTAATTGTTACTACTGTAATGCTAGAAGTATAAGGAATAAAATAGATGACTATAGAGCATTAGTAGGAATGGAGGATTTTGATATAATGGGATTAACTGAAACATGGTTAAACATATATGATTTTGATGACAGAAATTTCTTTGAAATACAGGGTTACAGGCTATTTAATAAGGATAGAGTATTAAAGAGGGGGAGGAGTGGCTTTATATGTAAAATGTGAGTTCCATCTTGTTGAAGTTCAGATATCAAAGATAATAAATAGCAAGGAGATTGAATCCATTTGGGTTTCTATCATTGGATATAAAGGGAAGAGGCTTTCAGTGGGAATTTGTTACAGACCACCAAATGATAATGATGAAATTAGTGAGAAACCTTTAAATGAGATTAAGATTTCAGCTGTTAATGAAGTCATAATTATGGGTGATTTTAATTTCAGGCATATAGATTGAGAAATGCTAGAGTCAAACCATGAGGGAGAAAGGATTTTGGAAACTGTTCAAGATGGCTTTTTTCACCAATTGGTCAAAGAACCTACTAGAAATAATGCTATTTTAGATTTATTGTTAACTCCAAATATAGAAATGATAGAGAGGGTGGAAACTGGGGAACATCTGGGTGCAAGTGATCATTGCTGTATTAGGTACAATGTTTTGCTGCATATGGAGATAAGGAATAATGATATTTTGGTTGCAAATTTCAAAAAAGCAAATTTTGAAGAGATGTAACAAGAATTATCTGTTGTGAATTGGGCAGCTGAATTACTTGGAGAGACTGATCAGATGTGGAAAATTTTTAAATATTCAAGGTAAAGATATTCCTTACAGAAAGAAAAAGAGTAGCTGCAAATAAAAAACCAGATTGGCTCACAAAGAATTTAAGAGATAAAGTTAAAGAAAAGCATAATAAATTTAAGAAATTTAAATTGAGTGGTATGACAGGAGATTTAAAAGATTATAGAAGATCAAGAAAGTTGGTGGAACAGGAAATTAGGACATCAAAA